CTGAGCAACATTAAACCGACTTAGGATTTTTGCATATTGAATCCGGGTGTGTACGGTTTTAGAATTGTGTAATTGGAAGGACATCCAGATATTGCTTTTTCTAGCCATCATAAGCATTGTTCGAGTTTCTTGTGTCCCACCAGGTCCCACTGCTGTTTCAGTAGCAAATAAACAGACAGAGACTTACATTAATTATTAAACTGTTGACCGATGGCTAGGGCTTCTTATTGGCTAGCTCTGTCTTAATTATTAACCTATAACTACTAATCTATGTATTTTTACATGCCCTTATCTTACCAGAGAACACAAAGCACATTCTATCTTCCTGGTCTCTACATGACATCTCTTTCTGGTGGGCTTGTGACTACCTTTCCCAGAATTCTCCTCATCTCCTAGTGCCACCTATCTTCTTACCTCTATTGGCTAACCAGTCCTTTAATCATCAACCAGTAAGAGAAACACATATACAGAAGGACATCCTCCATCACTATTTCCATGAATATATAAATATGCAAGAAAATATTACTAGTTTCTTCATTTGCCTCATACATATTCATTGATTGCTTATTATATACAACCAGTACTACTACAGGAGCTGGGATATACTATTGAACAGAGCAATGTGCATGAGAGCTTACATTCTGTATGCAAACATAAAACTGTTCTTTTTAGGAGCATCACTGGAATGGAACATTATGTTCCCTTATTCTCTCTATGTCTTTAAAATCTGATGGGTCCATCTATCAGAATTATATTCTCTCTAAATGCATTCATGGACATTATCTTGTTTTTGTAGTGAATAACCAGGGTATTCTTTTTAATATGTGGTAACCTACTTCTTAAAGAGTAAGTTGAAATGAAATGATAATTAATTCAGTCACCAGCTTCTTTTTTTCTTTTACTAACCTTGCTTTCTAAAATTCATATAATCTGTTTCTAGTCCAGTTTGTCTTTCACCATAAATAACACTAATTGATGGGTCTTTAAAAAGAAAAGGAACTACGATTGAAATTGAACACAGAATTTAATATATAGTAGAAGAATTGTTTTCCTTCTTGTTCATGCAGCCTATAGGCACTCGTTAGGTTTGTGGCTTGATCGGCTTTTGTAGCGTTACCATTGTTGTATAATACTTAACTTGTGATTGACAAGGAATATAGAACATTTTGCCTGAACTCATTATTTTATTAGTTAATATTATCCTTTCTTCAGCTCTTTTTCTTTTCTATTCCACATCCTATCTTTTATATTTTATTATTTTATGAGTATTTCGGCTACATATATGTCTATGTTTCATATGTGTATCTGGTACCTAAGGAAGCCAGAAGATGGCAGAAGATCCCTTGTAACTGGAGCAACATATGGTTGTGAGCCCCTATTTAGGTGCTGGAAATTGAAAAGGTGTCTTAGGGAAGAACCTCTGGAGGTCTAAAGTGCTGAGACAGGTCTCCAGTCTCTAAACATTTCACTTGCAAGTGAAATAATGTTCCTTATAAATCATGTTCCTGCTCAAAAAGTCAGATCCATCTGTCCAAACTTGTTGACGATGACACAACATGGAAGAGTATAAAGAACCTATGCATGGACCACAACTGAAAATGGCAAGCCCTACAGGTGTGTCTTCTACACTCCCTGCTTTTCCCTCTTGATTGTTGAAATGCCACCAACAATCTTCCATAATATATTTATTATACTTATTCATACTGTATATATCTCATCACCGAATGCTATTGACTTCACCTCTAAAAAGATAAGAAATCTTTTTGTTGCTGTGTCCTCCATAATAACTTGTAGCCAGGTCCATTTCTTATATGGTCATCAAATTTCATCCACTTTTGAGTTCTGACAGTCTACTCACCACACAGATGTAAAATTTGTCTTTTTAAAGTCGGATCATGTTTTATCTCTCATATTTCATCTGGAGACAAAGTTCTCTCTGACTGAATTCTGCCCTATCTACACATTCTACTTCTACTTTCCATTCACTGACAACCTTTCTGTCCAGAAAACAGGTCCATTTCACTTTAGCTGTTTCCTATGTCATATCCCTCCCCTCTGCATCTGCATATTTCTTCTTTATTGTCATTTCAGATCTGCATCCATACACTTCTTGGTGTAGTACTTCTAGTCACTATCAAATCACTTTAAATTACTATGACTCGTTTCGAACTCTTGTTTTTATATCAGTTTACTGGTGTATTGTTTTTCTCCTCAAGTTAGCTACAAGTTTCCCTGGTGACAGGGCTTTTTCTCTACTCTGCACTCTGGAAATACTGCTGTAGTGTTGTGACTGAGGACACAGCTAGCTCAGGCACATAATAAGCATGAACTGTTTGATCAGGGGAATTCATTTTATTTTCTATCTGTTTTCATGTATTGCCATTACTTGGAGGTCATTCAGAATTTTACTTTCTCCTTGGCTACTGGCAGTCTTACTGATTTCAATTTCACCTATAGACTTAATACAGGATACCCAATTTCCTTGGCACGGGCATTAATGAACCATTGATATGAGGAAGCAAATGAGAATCCCTTGGGGATGACATTCAGTGCAATTATCTATAGGTATTTTAAAGGTCCCAACCATCACTGATTCAGAGTCCAGGCCCAGTGTTCTTATAGCAAAGATACTAACATTTTTATTGTGCTCCCTGGAGTTTCTTCCAGGACTTTTATTCCTTTTAACCTCTTCATCCTGAAACAGCCAAGTGTTAGAAATCACTCTGCTCAGGAAACACCCACATGGTACAATTGTGGCCTCCCAAGAATCCCCTAGACCATAAGTGAGATCACTGGTCTCTATCCTCACTCTGCCTCTGGAGACTGTGCATTTGCTTCTGTTCTGACTTCCTTGCATAGGCTGCCTGTCTTTCTGGGCTTGTCCTTAGGTGTGTGCTGTTATGCTATTCTCCCCTGTGGCCTGTGAGACAGAGCCTTCCATGGAGATTATGCCAAAGATTATGCCAAAGGGTTTCAGTCTTCTACAGTTTCTATCTCCATTTGTACTTAGCTTGTCTCAAGGCTTCTGTCTTGATTCTGGGAAGCATGTTATGACCTCATCATCTGCCTCATGCTGTTTTTTTTGTAGAAAGTAAAAATAGCTGCCCTATGCCTTGTTGGTGAATATATGAGAAGAGGGAACCTCTCATCTTGAGATTCATGTTGCACTCACTGAAGGTTGGCCCTGTGTATGTTGCTAACTAATCCTTTTCAGTGACGAAATTCTTGGTGAAGGAAAGAAAGAGGCCTTGAACTCATGTTGGCATCATTCTGTAGAAACAGCAACCTATCTTTTCAGAGTCATATCAGCAAACAGACTTGAGAAAGAGAAATCATAAAGCCTAGGATGTCTGTCCTTAATCTCCATGATAACTAGTTAGTGGCCATGCAGAAATCTAAAACCACCCTTATTATTGTAGGAAAAGCAGAAATAAAAAAGCAAGGAATTTGGAGTCATGCTATTTTTGTAGCAGTTCAAGTCTCCCCACCTTCCTCCACACTAGCTTAGTTTGCAACTTAATTTTTAAAAAATGGCTGAATTAACCAAGTGCTTAACAATGAAGATAGATGATGACGATTTAGGAATTTATAAAAATATGGACAGTCTGATCATTTTTTATGATTGAATGAAAGTGTATCATTAACCTAAACATTGTTGTCAAACTTGCTGCCCTAGATAGGTTATTGTCCCAGTATTACTGTGTATTTGGAAAGAACAATGAGATAGGAACATAAAGTGGAAGTAACAGTAAAATAGAGAGATAACAACTGAATCAAGAAGGGATGGAGTGGGTTTCTGTTCATGGAAAAGATGATTCCTAGAAGTCAATTAAAATCATCCTGGAAAAATTGAGTGGATGGACTAAATGAGGGCTTTCCACATTCCTTTCCCTTTTCTTGCATCTTTCCATTTAACACTTCCATAGCCCTGATAAGTATTGGGCTATGGAGATGAATGGAAGAGTCCTTCACCTCAAAAAGCTCACAGTTTAATAAGAGTCAGACACATTTTCTGAAGTGATATATAATATAAAAGAAGAAGCATCTAACAAAGATTCATATGTGAGGTGTCAAGAGGTTGTTCAAAGAATAAAATGATCATGCTTCCTAAACTCTGAGAGCTTAAAGTCCCGAATATAGGAGAAGTCCCTTTTATAGAGGGTTTCAATATCTTAAATTTTGTATCTAGAGAAGATTTAGGAACATGAAAGGACAAGAAGGATCCTAGAGGATGAAGGAGCCAAGCACATATCTTTGGGCAGTGTGCTCTGCTTAAATCAAGGTGTAGAGAGGTACTTGATATCATCAAGAAAGAGAAGGGACCAAGCACATGGAGCCACTAGAAGCATCCTTTAAAGAGGTATGGGTTCTGTATCCACAAAGGAACTGGGTCTGCCTTTTATCCTTGGAATAAAGATGGAACATGACATCTCATAGCAGTTCAGACACACTAGCCATGCCTACAAGCCTTTTAAGGTAACAATAGAAAGTGGAAGAGTCTCAACATCCATTCTGAGCAAATGGGAAATTGCTTTTTTTTTTTTTGAAGTTTGATCTGAAAGACACACACCCTTCCTGTAGGGCACACCCACACTACTCAATTTATCTGTGCCAGAAAGTGCAAGGGCTGAATTGATTGTGCTATAAAGTGGTTGAAATGTGACACCCCATCCATTGAGCCCTCCTCTGTGCATGGAGAGAGAGAGAGAGAGAGAGAGAGAGAGAGAGAGAGAGAGAGAGAGAGAGAGAGAGAGAGAGAGGTTTCTCTTGATTCTAATGTGCTGAAATATTTCTGCAGGTCGGGAGCCATTTCTGCCTGCTCTGGGTGAAGCAATTTTGATCAAATCTTATAATATAGGGAGATGTCATTGATTCAGTATAGATAATCTAAATTGCCAGATAGCAAGATACAGAGGAAACTTTAATAACCTAAAATATGGTGGTCAAAGATTGTGACTTTATTTTCAGCTGTGTCCTTCATGTATTTGTTTCTGCCTCAGGGTGAGTTTTGATGAGGGCCACTCCTGGAGCAAATATGGTTTCACATTGCTGCCTCTCTTCGTGGATGGGGCATTGGTGGAGGCAGGAGTAGAGACCCACATCATGACGTGAGTACTTCTTTACTGTCCCAGAGAAGGGACTGAAGACCTCAATTCTCCTTCATCTGTAGACTCAGTATTTCCTTGTGGAATACAATAACAAATCATTTATTCTCAGGGCCAGAGTTTCCTCATCTATGAAATAGAAATGTTTATATTCACACTCACCAACCTGCATTGCTACAGACAGGTTAGCCTCCTAATTCACCAGTGAAATTTCTAACAGAATTTAAAGCATCCCCCTTACCTCAAAGTCCACAAAAGTTATATCTGTGATATATTTGAGAGATTTGGCATTCACATGTAAGTATTTGCTCAGTGTTCAAGTTGGAAAAAGCCTAACACTGTGGTCAGAATTGAAAGAACAGATGGGAACCCTATACAGAACAGCTACAGGTTAATCAAAATAGGAAGTAGAACATATCCATGACTAATATCATGAAGTTGAACTTGTTTTGTAGTAGAAATTTTCTGGAGACATCTATTGCATGGATAAAGATTTCCTTCAGAGTTTCTTGCTCAGGAAAAATCATTGCTAGTACCTACTGCGTGTCAGATAGTATCCAAATGGACAAAACAAAACAAAACAAAAACAACTTTATCCTAATACTTAAATAAATAATATGGACAAATGACTCTGCTTTGAAACCCAGAATTCTATGTAAAAGATCACATTATTGTCAGAAGTTACAGGAAGTGGATAAAATACTATTCTTCACTTCAAATATTTATTTGAAAATTTAGGTACACGAGCTGATTTTCCCCATATTATTCTGGCCTTCACTTACTCGTTAGGCATAAAACAGGCAGCTTCTGTCTTCATAGGACTTTCCCTAATGTGAGTCAGTACAAAGCGTGGCTTCTATTTGTAGGTTTTCCGGGGCATAAGCACCTGCATTCAAGAGGTAATATAAGCTGCCTCCTGGCTACAGTCAAGCCAGAGTTCATTGATTTTTTCCAATTCATATCTGACCTGGTTCTAGAATCTTGCCTAATGGCCCCAAATTCAGTCATTGGTTTTGTTTGTTTGTTTTTTGTTTTGTTTTTTGTCAAGATTTGCCTATTTTGCTTATCTTTAGCCCATAGCATACAGCATTCACCAGACTCTTTTATGAGACCTATTTGAACGTATTGCATGATTCTTTTGGACATGGTTTGAACCATACCATATGCACACTAATCTCTTCATCGCCTGGTATTCTCTGGGCTAAGGCTGCAGTTTAATTGTTGTGTCCACCTATTCTTAAATGTTAGTAATTCCCCCCTTTGTGTGGAATGGGGCTTGTTACATGGGTATGAAGGGAGACTGAACTTAGAGCCAGACTATTTACTGAAAGGATGCGATGGTATTCTGTCATCCTTCTTTTCCACTAGGATGCACAGGAGCTCAACAGAGCTTTGGTACCTCTTCTGTCTTGCTCATAAAGATACTTAAATGTGCAACATGGCTATTTCATATAAAAGATGTTGAGTGAAAAGCACACTTGCCTAATGAAATTAAGATGGGTCCAAGAAACATTCATCAAAGCAAACAACCGATTTTTAGCTCTTGCTCTAATTTCTTTTTAAAAACTTACTTTAACAAAAAAATGCATGTTTGAATATAATGTGCTTTGATCGCAGCCGCACCTTGCTCTTCTCTAATTTTCCAAGATCTCCATGCACTCATCTCTCCCAACTTTATGTCTTCTTCTTTTTCCTCTTAATGTTTGAAAACATAATTCCCCGAGTCTGCTTGATGCTGCTTGTGTGTCTGTGGTTATAAAGCTGTCCACTAGTGAATAGACAACCTATCAGGAATCAGAAAACTGACTCTCCCTCCACTAGCAGCTTGTCTACTGCCTTATAGTTCCTTATCCAGTGGAGGGGCTGAGAGTCCTTCCTCTAGTCATACTGGAATGTCAACTGGGTTGAACTTGTAGAGGTCTTTGTGAAGGTTTCCACAGCTGTTGAGAGTTTGTGAGTACAATAACCCTACTGTGTTTAGAAGACATTAATTCTCAATAGTCTTCAAATTTCTTAGGGTCTTACAATATTTCCACTCCCCTCTTCATTGATCTTCCCTCAGAATTAGGTGTGTGTGTGTGCGTGTGTGTGTGTGTGTTTGTGTGTGCTTGTGTGTGTGTGTGTGAGTGTGCTTGTGTGTGTGTGTGTGCTTGTGTGTGTGTGTGCTTGTGTGTGTGTGTGAGTGTGCTTGTGTGTGTGTGTGAGTGTGCTTGTGTGTGTGTGTGTGCTTGTGTGTGTGTGTGTGTGAGTGTGCTTGTGAGTGTGCTTGTGTGTGTGTGTGTGTGTGTGTATTATAGATGTCCCATTTGGTGATGAGCATTTCACAGTCCCAATTCTCTTTACTTTGAACAATTGTATTCCCTGTATTAACTTCCATTCACTGCAAAAAGAAGTGTAATCTACAGGTATAAAATTAAATATCTACAAGGAGTTGACTACTGTATCAACTTAAAAGCTCATAGTAGTATCTATGAGTAAGTATCCTTTGAGGTTTTCCTGTGACCTCTCCAGCCAATAGTTCTTGCCTAGTTTGAAAGAACTAGCAATGAGTTCCCTCTATTTTTGTAGTTCTTAAATCTAACCAGAGAGATGTTGGTTGCAGCTAAGAAAATTGTGCCACTATTGAACAAATGAGTATATATTGGCAGGCCATTAATCACCATAGTGTACAGGGCTCATAGCTGGAAAAGACTTTTCTACTTTGGAACCCTGAATAACAATTACTGGCACTTTAAATTCTTACCATCAGGGAAGGAGTTCCTAGATCAGTAGTGGCTTGATTTCTGCAAGACATGTATGAAATGAAATCAGTATATGTGCAGAAGTGGAAAATATGCTGAGTGAGGTAACCTTGACCCAGAAAACAAATAGGACATACTATCTGTTATGCGTGGCTTTAGCTTTGAAGGGCTAGGTTTAGGTGTACAACTCGGAATACCTATGGAAGTTAGAAAAATGGAAAGAGATAACTGGGGGGGGGGCATTTTAAATCTTAGTTTTAGATAATAATGAAGTTCATCTTAGAAGCCATAGTTTATGAAAAAAAGAACTTGAGGGAAAGATACTATTACAATTTTTAAATTTTAATTAAGAGTTTCTTCTGTGTGGGAATAATACATAGTTTTGGGATGTTCAGATGTTCAGGACAGGGAGAAGGTCTGGAATGGTTACCAGGAGTCTCTGTCTATTTCCATTTCAGATTTGGAAAGACTTTATTCCTAATTAGTTTACTAAAGCCAACTAGTACTTTAATTTCACAGAAGGAAAATGGAATTCAAAAGTTATATATTCTTTTGGAATTATGAGAATATGGAGTAGATTTGGGGTTAAGGGTTCTTCCCTTGCCATTGATCCTTACTAATGAATCAGGACACTTGAATCCCATGAACTTATTGTTAACCTCATTGTAGATTAATGGTAGCTGTGGAAAAAGGGCTACAGTATTCTGCTATTGACTTTTCATCTTGATCTGCAGAATTTATATGTTTAATACTTTACTCATTTAAAACACTTCATGGGTGCAATAAATGTCAGATTCGGTTGGCTCTTAGAAGATAAAAAGGGTCAATGCAGCGCTTTCCCTTTAAGGAGATCTCAGGGCAAAGTGATGGGAGTTAAGTGTTGGTACACTAGTCATCAAGAGACTCTGGCTTCTAAGCCAGGAGGGGAGCATAAGGATGTGTGTGAGGACTTCACAAAACACACACACACACACACACACACACACACACACACACACACAGTGGGAAATTAAATTAAGCTCCTTTGAGCGAAGATGTTTCTACATCATACCTCTTGAGTATTAATTGTATTTATCAATTTTGTACTAACACAGATGTTAGCCATGTATATTTATTGGGTAAATGAATTACTGAGCGAATGAATAATCTTGTGAGATAAGAATGAGAACTGTGTTGTGATCTTTTATACTGGTCTCGGGCATAACCCCGGGATTTTTAGGAAATCAATTGTATACCCACCAGGAATTCTGTCATTCAAATTTTAGGATCTAACAATTGGTAATTGTGTGCCTGGTGGCTGGGTTGGCATAAAACTAGTTGTATCTACTATTCTCTGAGCAGGGTTGTGTGTGGAAACAGGCAAGTGCCAACAGAATGGCGTGAGAATACAAGAGGGCAGCTAGTGAATGAGACCCCTGTGGGCAATGGTTTCTGATTCTCTCCTGTGAGAATCTGTCTAGTTTGACGCTGGATATTTGCTGGGGAGTATGCATGGGAAGACAAGACAATGCCCAGCGTGGAAGTCTGTGATTTGCTTGCCTTTATTGCTCTTTTTTCTATTGTCATTTCAAATGTTATTATTTCAACATCTCCCTGGTAACCTTGACAGCAGCCATCTAGTCTGGCCTAATTCACAATGAAATGTGACCATTCTTATTACTTAAGGCTGAGGATACCTTGGATGATTGGCATGCCAGAGTGCCTGTTGTGACCTCGGGCAGAGGCTCTTGAGGTGATGAGGTGCCTGAGTGTCCTAGAGCACTTGGCCCCTTCTGGCCCACTACTTTTATGAAAGGTTGGTGGCCCTCCAAAATAACACCTTAAGCAGGGGCTCATTTCCCTCTTGGCTCAGATGTCAAATCTGATAGAAAAGCTTCTCATCCTTAGTTCCGCATTTTTTTCTCTTACTAATATGAGAATTTGGAAACTACTGGCTATTATGTAGCTGATCTTTTTCAGGGACTACAGAGGACTAAACAACCTCTCAGAAAAGGAGACTAGATGTCTTGCCCTAGTTGGGCAAGAATAGCAGAATTTCTCTTGGAAAAAAAAAATCTCCATTACTTCTAGAAGCATGCAGCAAAGCACCCTGGAGAGACTTCAGTCTAATCTTCAAGAGTGTAGCCAAGATTTGCAGACAGTTTGCATACACCACTCCCCTTCCTGAGCCAGATATTTCCACGAAGTTCATTCTCAAAAGTGATTTCGTTGGAATCCCCCAGCATCCTGCAGTGTAGATAGGTTTATCATCCCTGAGCAAAG